CGCTCTTTTTGTCTTTCGCGTTCGCAAGAAGCTCGAACATTTTTATTTGGTCCTTCGAGCCGGATCCGCGAAGTGCAGACATTTGACTCTACCGTTTGTGCGAAGTGAAGTGATCAATCGAGAACAATGCCTGAAGAACAACAGCAGTCCTCCTCCACCATCAAAGCAACAACGCAGCGACTTATCGCCAAGCAGGACGATCTCGCTGCTTTCCTGGACAATTGCGCCAAGGACATCGAGGGAATGCAGGATCCATCCGCCGTTTTCTTGGAAAGGCAGATAGAGGAGCTGACTTCGACGTGGAATAACTTCAAGCTCACCCATGCTAAGGTACTTGAGGATCCACAAGCCGCGTCGTGCTCGTATGTGATAGAAGGTCAGCGCGATCGATTCCATTCCACTTATTCTGCTTTGCTCAACCGCATCTACCGTCTCCTCGACTCTCGCCAACAAGCCCCGCGATCGGCAACTCCGCTATCGGTAACAACGCCGTCGGTCCACCTCCCGCGGATGAATCTTCCCAAATTCCGCGGCGTGTACACCGAATGGGAGTCGTTCCGGGACATTTTCACGGCAGTAATCCACGAGCACCCTTCCATATCAAACGTTCAGCGCCTACATTACCTTCGCACCTGTCTCGAAGGTGAGGCCCTGTCGCTTCTCGACGGCACACCAATTACGGACGACCAATACGAGGGTTCTTGGGCCGCGCTGAAAGCTCGATACGAAAATAAACGGGTTCTGTTATGCAACCATCTAGATCACTTACTTAACTTATCGACTATCAAACGCGAATCCGCGTCCGACTTGAAAACCCTCCGAGATGGCACAATGAAGACTCTTCGCTCCATTGAGCTGCTCGGACGGAAAGAATTTCTAGGGAATGACCTGTGCGTTTACCTGACCGTAAAGAAGTTTGATTCCGAGCTCCGAAAGGATTGGGAAAAATCGCTCGGGAACACCTTGACACCGCCTAAATTCGAGGAATTAGTGAGTTTCTTAGACGTTCAGATTCGCGCACTCGAATCCTCGAAACCCTCTCAGGCAAACGCACAGCCACCCCCACGCGGTCCAGGCGCCCCCAAGTCTCGTCCCGTCGGTACCCGAGCCCATCTGGTGACCAAGCGACCGCGCTCTTGCCCTTCCTGCCAAGAGGCACACTATCTAGGTCAATGCCCGGAGTTTCAGAAACGATCTCCGGAGCAACGCATGCAGCTCGTTACGCAGCTTCAGCTGTGCGCGAACTGCCTATCTCGCGGACATACTCGCGAAACTTGTAGATCCGAACGTCGGTGCACTTCTTGCAATAAAGCGCATCATTCGATGCTTCATCGACCTTCAAATTCAAGTCGATCGGACGCTGGTCCCTCGACAAGCTCCGAGGCCGGTCCAAATTCAGCGACCTTCGCTTCATCCTCCTCTACCTCGCCACTCACCGCTGTTAATTCTCACTTAGCCGGAAAACAGAACGGCGAGGCGCCAGTGCTTCTTGCAACAGCTCTGGTAATACTCCAAGCACCGTCCGGAAGGTGCATTCGCGTTCGAGCGTTGTTAGATCAAGGATCCGAAGCTAGCTTCATTTCGGAATCCGCTGCTCAATTATTAAAACTAAAACGCTCAAAGATCGAAGTCCCGATCTTCGGACTTGGATCATCCCTTGCTGGAACCGCCAAATCGACCGCTCAACTCCGACTCCGATCCACACACGAGCCCGATTTCGGCGTCGAAGTCCGCGCACTCGTGATGCCACAATTAACGGGCGCACGGCCACCGCAGCACGTAGCTCGTCGAGAGTGGCCACATCTCGCCGACTTGACCCTAGCCGATCCGTCATATTCGGCGGCTACCAAAATTGAATTCATCCTTGGAGCGGATTTGTACGGACCCCTGCTGCGCGACGGAGTGCGCCATGGGGCCCCAGGAGCTCCCATTGCTCAAAGGACCGCGCTCGGCTGGATCCTTTCCGGACCGCTATCCTGCGGCCCTGCGACAACGCCGATTAAGCCTGTCTCGCCAATTACTTCGCTCCACATGCACGGCACATCCGATCTTGGCTCATTAATAAAAAAATTCTGGGAGTTAGAAGAAGTTCCAGATACCCACATTCTCTCAGCTGACGAGGAAGAGTGCGAGCGTCATTTCCAGGAGACGCATCGACGCGACGATAAAGGACGCTACATCGTGCGGCTGCCGATGAAGACCACGCCTCTGCCGGATCTTCGCAGCTCTGAGAGGACGGCCCAGCAACAGTTGCAGCAATTAGAACGCCGACTTGCGAAATCGCCACAAGTCGCAAACGCATACTCCGCCTTCATGGACGAGTATGCGAATCTTCGGCACATGGAGGCAGCGAACGACAGCTCGCCGGCAAATTTCTACTACATGCCGCACCACGCGGTTATCCGCGAAGCCAGTGTCACCACGAAATTACGAGTCGTATTCAATGCTTCGCATAAGGTTGTCTCCGGAAAATCGTTAAATGATTGTCTGCACACAGGGCCAGTACTGCAACGAGATCTCAGCGCCCTCATTACGAAGTGGCGCACGCATCGCTTCGTGTGCACTGCGGACATTGAAAAAATGTACCGGCAGATTCGCATACACCCGGACGACGCAGACCTGCAGCGAATCTTATGGCGAAAATCGGCACACGAACCCATCACCAGCTTCCGACTCCTCACGGTGACATATGGCACTGCCTGCGCGCCATACCTCGCGCTCCGGAACCTCCGCCAATTAGCGGAGGACGAAAGGTCCAACTTCCCGCTGGGAGCCGAGGCCCTCGAAAAGGATTTTTACGTTGATGACGTCCTCACCGGGGCCGATGACCTGGACACTGCGCTAGCCATCCAAAAACAGCTGATAGACCTCCTGGTGACTGGAGGTTTTCTGCTGCGCAAGTGGGTAGCAAACCACCCGCAGCTCCTCGAGCAGGTGCCCGTCGAGCTCCGACTGTCGTCATCCCTCATCTCACTGGCAGCAGATGAGCAAGTGAAAACGTTAGGGCTTTTTTGGAATCCATCAAGTGATGCATTTCAATTTAAAATCAGCTTGCTTGCAGCAAGAGCCAACCACCAGCCAACAAAACGCAGCATTTTATCCGCAATAGCTCGGCTGTTTGATCCGCTCGGTTGGCTTGCACCGGTCATTATTACAGCTAAAATTCTAATTCAAAGATTATGGCTTGCTCAGGTCGACTGGGATCAATCCTTACCATCGAGCGTCGAGACAGAATGGGTTCGATATGAGAAACAGCTTCCAGCCATCGAACGCATCTCCATCCCCCGGTGGACCGGAAAAGGTCAACCTTCCGAGACAAGCGAGATCCACGGCTTCTGCGACGCGTCCATGCACGCCTACGCTGCCGCCGTTTACCTCCGGACCGGAGGACCTAAGGATGTCCAGATCACCCTTCTCACAGCAAAGACGAAGGTGGCGCCGTTAAAACAGCTGAGCATCCCCAGATTGGAGTTATCGGCAGCGTTTCTACTAACTCGGCTCGTGCGATCCGTGCGCGCCGCATTGAACCGCGAGGAAATACCCATGTACGCCTGGACCGACTCGAAGGTCGTGCTCGCATGGCTGAAGGGACATCCATCGAGATGGACGTGTTTCGTCGGGAACCGAGTCTCCGAAATACAAGGGAGTCTTCCGCAGATCACCTGGAAGCACGTGCCTTCTGCTCAGAATCCAGCAGACTGCGCGTCCCGAGGCCTGCAGCCCCAAGAATTACAAGACTTTTCTCTGTGGTGGAATGGACCACAATGGCTCCGCCAACCCTCGTCGAGCTGGCCTCGAGAAGAACCATCCTCAGCCGAAGACGCTCAACAGGAAGAACGACCGATCCGGACACACCTGACTCAAACCACTCACCCCTGGGACCTGATACTCAGGTATTCAGATTTGAGAAAATTAATTCGCGTCACCGCATACTGTCGCAGGTTCGTCTACAACGTGAGACAGCCTGCTCCCGAACGAAGAATTCATCACCTTACAACAGCAGAGCTGGCTGAGGCTCGCTTATTTTGGCTGCAACGAGAACAGCAGAGACACTTCGGCGAAGAAATCCAGGCTCTTCAGCAGGGACAACCCCTGCCTCGCCGCAGTTCACTGTTGACGCTTCACCCATTTCTCGATGCAACCAGGACCTTGCGCGTCGGAGGACGCCTACGCAACGCACCGCTCGCGTATGAAGAGCAGCATCCAGCGATTATACCGAAGAAATCGCCGCTGGTCTCATTACTAATCTCCAAGGCTCACTTAGATACCCTCTACGGAGGAACTCAGCTAACCCTCAGCCATCTCCTCAGGAAGTACTGGATTCTCGGCGGTCGCAGTGCAGTAAGACATCACCTGCACAGATGCATCACCTGCTTCCGTGCAAGGGCTCAACCCAGCTCACAACTCACGGGCGATCTGCCCAAATCTCGTGTCGTCCCAGCAAGGCCATTTCTTCGAGCTGGAGTCGACTACGCTGGCCCAATCAACCTGAGGCTCGCCAAAGGGCGCGGGCAGAAAACATACAAGGGTTATATTGCCCTATTCATTTGCCTGGTCACCAAGGCCATCCACATCGAGGTGGTCAGTGATTACACCTCCCAGGCATTCATCGCAGCCTTCAAGAGATTTACATACCGACGGGCATCTGTTCCGAGCTCCTCAGTGACAACGGGACAAATTTTAAAGGAGCTGATGCGGAACTTCGATCGATGTTCACAGCATCAAACAACTATTGGAAGGATCTCGCGAAACATCTGGCCAACGAGGGAACACACTGGACTTTCATCCCCCCAGCGTCCCCCCATTTCGGGGGACTGTGGGAAGCGGGTGTAAAATCAACGAAGTTTCATTTGAAACGGGTAATCGGGGAGCGCACGCTCACATTCGAAGAACTAACCACCGTTCTCACACAGGTCGAAGCTTGCCTCAACTCGAGGCCTCTATCACCGTTGAGCAGCGATCCGAACGACCTGGCTGCCCTAACTCCTGGGCACTTTCTAATCGGCTCAGCAATGACCACCATTCCGGAGCCCGGCCTCACCGAGATCTCAGAGAATCGACTGTCAAAATGGCAGTTAACTCAACGCATGCACGAGGATTTTTGGCAGCGATGGTCCACGGAGTATCTGCATAACCTTCAACAACGGTATAAGTGGACATCCATCGCTCCCAATCTGCACGAAGGCATGCTCGCGCTCATCAAGGACGAGCGCCTTCCTCCAACACGATGGGCATTAGCACGTATCATCGCCACTCATCCTGGCGCAGACGGACTCGTCCGCGTGGTCACGCTACAGACAGCCACCACAACCCTGCGACGACCGATCGCTAAGGTCTGTCCACTTCCGCTGGAACCCAGTCCAGCGACCGCCAGCGATGCCACATCAGCAGCTTAAGCTATCGCCAACCGGGCACCTTCGCACGGCGGGCGGCAGCTGGTGATTAGCTCGTAAGTCAGACATTAAGCGCGCTCTCTACAATTAAGGTTGTACTCAAGTTCGCAGTTCTCTTTTCGACTTCTAATTTCTTCTATTAGAACTAACTGAAGTTTGTTATTCAACTCAACGCGTGCCAATACGCAGTTATTTCGTCCGTCCGGACGAGGCGGGCGGCATGTTCACGCTAAAACGCAAAGTCCAATTACCGATTGTTAATATTATATCAAATCATAGCGAGACTCGNGAGAGGGGGGAGAGAGGGGGAGAGAGAGAGAGAGAGACTAAGTTCGGGGGTCACTAATTCCGGGCCCGCAGCGCCCGGACGATTGCTCGTCACCTTCGCCCGATCGTCTAGGCGGATCCGTTCGAGCCACTCAAAATGATTTTTCCCCGTTTCGGGAACGAAACACTAACTTGGGCGCCACGCCTCCCCGGACGCCAAAAACACTCAACGGCAAACTCTCAACTCTCGACGATCGTCGCGGCGCGGCCGACTAGCTCAGAGCGCGCACGCGCCAAAGTTCGGAGAGGGCGAGGGTAAGATCAAGATGCGGGGACAAAGGGGCGGACTCAACAAATTTGGGGAATTTATCATAGGCTTAAGGAAAACAGGGGAATCCAGCCACTCCTACTCAAAAGAAAAACCGATTCCAATCTGGTACCAATTTTTGACAAATTTATTCTAACAATAAAAGAAATAAAAAACAATTAGATTAACAAAATGAACGGAGAGAACAGAAATGTGACAAGAAAATAGGGTTCGGCGGAAGGCCGCCCAAGAGACAATTAAAGTAGAAAGGTAATCCTCGCGAGACAATTAGGCGAGAGATAATTAAAGCGCGAAATAGAAAATTAGTGGAAAATCAGATATCTTTGGAAAATTAATAGTTTTCTCAGTGTATCACCGGTAAAAGTAATTTAGCGCGAAATATTCAAAAGGGGCGCGTTTCCGCTCACTGGCGCGACACGATCCGGGCCCTACGACTTCGCGAATTTAATCGGTGACTCCACTCGGAGCAAACCGGAAGATCTCCCGCGTGAGACTCACGATGACCGACTACGCGGTACGCTTCCGCTCACCGGCGCGACACGATCCGGGCCCTACGACTTCGCGAATTTACGCGGCGACTCTAATACTTTTCACAGAAGGAGACTGTTCACGCTAAAACGCAAAGTCCAATTACCGATTGTTAATATTATATCAAATCATAGCGATACTCGAGCGGACCAGACCACTCGTCGGACATCCTGGCGCCTGGCAGTCCGTTAAGGGTAAAAGGCGACTCTCGAACCCCCGGGGTAGGGCATTCTTTCCCAGCGACCTGGGTGTTCTCTTCCTCTAGTCCATGCCTGCTTTCTATCATTGCTCACATAGTTCTCCGTATCCGCAACTCTCTTCGCTTTCTACGCTTCATGTAAGTCTCACTCTTGAGGCCCATAACTTAAAACCTCAAATTCCAAAACATGGTCTCGAACCATCAAGTACTCTTCTATCACCGTGGTCCTGTAGCCCTTGAGCTGGTCCTTTCCCAGAACTCCTCGTCCTTTAGCCCATTTTTTGTTTTCCCCACCTACGACTCAAAATGCATAAACTTTTCCCTTTCTCACGATCCTGCAGCCAATCAGTGCTCGTTGCAAATGCATCTTAACTTTATCTCAACCTATCCTCGACGACGTTCCTAAACGACTCCTCCCCCGATTCTTGCATCCCGAAGGTCCGAATTCGAACCGCTCTGCGAGGTTCCTCAGATAAAAAACATCTCCCGCGAGATCAACGACTCTCCGGTTCTACGCGCTCAACTTCTCTAAGTCCACTCATGCTAGTGGCCCGCTCAACTAGGCATTAATATTCGTTCAGTCATATTCACTTCGTGATTTCATTGTTAACTCGCTTGAATTGTTAAATAGTTTACATATTAATAAACGTATCAGATTTGTTACGCACTTCGTACCTGGCACCGCTCTTTTTGTCTTTCGCGTTCGCAAGAAGCTCGAACAGAGACAAAGAAAACGAAAAGGGGGTCCTCGAGTGAGCACGTGGCACTTACTTTACTAGAAAATTCACCGCCGCTCGCCGGCCCCTCGGCTGAGTCCCTCGACGAGCCGGGAAGGTCTTCGGGTCTTCAAACACTGGAGACAATGAGAGAGTTGCAGAGAACTATTTAGCGCAGGTCCGCTCGGTCCGACGATCGTAGGCAGAGAAGGTCGGGGATCTCTAGGCGCTGTCCTATACAGGGTTTCGGCTGACCAGTCCCAATTCCAATCGGTGCCGTTGATTGGCTGAGATGCCCCTTAGCACCAGATTTTCGGCGGAATCGGCGTGCGCCGGCCCGATTCCTAGGGCAGGGGGTTGCGGCGGCGCGATCCCCGTGCGCAGTTGCTGGGCAACGGCGTTGCGCGCCTGGCGCACGTCAAGCCGCCGGCGATGCCACGGCCGTGCCGAGCGGTGGTCCGTCGGGTCCCGGCGGGCCCTGATCTTCTGGGCCCCCGATGTTTTTCCCTCCGGGGGATCCTGGCTCACCCGGGGACGGACCCTTGGGTAAGTCCCCGGGGGATCCTGGCTCACCCGGGGACGGACCCTTGGGTAAGTCCCGGGTAATCTGGCGAGGACGTAGCATCCACGCCTCGCCTCGTCGGTGGCAGCCAGGGTCACTAGAGCTCCTGCTTCCTGGTCCGGCTCCTGGCCGGGTAGTCTTGCAGCCCCTGCGGGTGGCCGCACCCGTGCTCCAGGGCCCGTCTGCGGCCCGCCCCCGCAGGCAAGGCCACCAAGGGGTGTAGCAGGGCCGACTTGCCCCCCGGGTGGATCCGACGAACGGGCCGTGGCACCGCGGCTGATGAGCTCGGTCCTGATGCTCTTGGCCGCCGAGGCTTCCTCGACGGCTTCTTTCTTCCCGGTCGGGGCGGCGAGCGGTATCGCGCGCGCGAGCGCGACCTCCGAGAGGTCGCCGATGTTGACGCTCCGGCCTAGCGACCGGAGCCTCGCTACGCGATAGAGAAATTTGGCGAGCTCTCAGTCACCTCGCCAAATATTCATCCCGAATATCTGCGAGTGCTCGAGAGCACGCCCGGGAACTCAAAAAACGAATGGATGACCCCTTACAGGAAATTGGGAAGAGTTCCCGTGGATCGCTAAATTAGGTTGCAACAAAATATTAAGCTTAATTTGGTTATTAATTAGACATGCTTTCCCTCTCCCCCGCGTCGGTGACCGTCCCCCCCGAGACGAGCCCGGATTCCGGGCGGGGCGCGGGGGGGCCGCGGTTGCGCAATCGATCCCGCAGCCCCCCCTAATGCGCCGAAGGTGGCCACCGAGGAGTTTTTAGTGGGTGCAAGCCCCACACTACCCCCGCCCCTCCCTCGGGGGCGGGGGTGTCCGTCAGGGATTTTATCCTCGTAAAAGAAAAAAAAGGGTCGGTGACCGTCGGACCTCGGACCCTGCAACTAAAGAATGAAAAAAAAAAAGATGTCGGCCGAAAGTTGTGATCGCCGTGGAGTGACAAAAATATACCACGTCACAGTATATTACATATATTTTTAAATAATGAATAATCATTCTATTTACCCTTACTGGAAAAACACTAAATGATCGACTCGAAACAAAGTTTAAAAATTCCATTTCCTAAAATTTGAACAATACTCTGTTTGATAAAATCAAGCTGCGTTGTTTTTTGACAATATAAATGTTACTAAAAATGTAAAATGGAATTTTTAAATAGTTTGTTATAAGAATTTGTAACGAGCCGTGTGCCTCGGACCAGGGCGCCCGAAGCCGAACCACACGCAAGCGCGACAACCCACGGCCCGCGCTCTCTCGCAAACGCGCGAGCCTCCCGGGCACTATAAGAGGCCCGGGAAAATAGAGCAAGTCAGTGTCGTAGGAAGTGAGGATACCCGCCTAAACTCTCAAACCCGATTCGCAGGACGAGACCTCGAATCACTATAGGCGCGAATTCGCATCTCCGAAGATAAATCCGACAAGAGGCGATACGAGCCGAGCTTGTATACCGTGTCACCTCTCCGACCCGGGAGGTCGAACAATAGGGTTAGAATTAGTACCGCAACTAACATATAATTCATATTGTAAACAATTAGTATTAAGTACGATCCCGTTCGTATCCGGTCTGCTCCCAACGTTTTACTTTCAGACCTGAAGCAACTGACGCCGACCGGCAACCGATGTACATCCAATAAACTTTATTATTGTTACCAAAACCTAAGAATATCTTACTCCACCCAGGCATTACCCCTCGGATACTCAAACGCTTCGAGCGGACCACTGTCGCGGGAAGAGACCCGAACGTGGACCGCGGTGCGCGAGGTTGCCACCTAACTCACGCCCTCGAGTTCTATCGTTACAAATTAACAAAAAACATTTTTTATTTCATTAGTAGGATAAAAATATTTTTCAAACATTGTACAGTTACAGTAAAGTTATACCTGCTGTTATTTATATGTATGTAACTATATTGTTACGTGGCGGCCGAGTGGCTAGCGAGGCCGGGGGAATTTTGCAGATTCCTCAGAGCGGTATACTGTTTGTAGAGATATTAACTCGTACGCACACGTAACCAGTATATTATTTGAGAGATATGGAGAGGATAACCCGAGCGGCTAGGTCAACCTCTTTGGTGGGATCGATAGGTTTTTTGGTCCTCAAAGAGTGTTGGAAAGTTGCAATAAGGACACAGGAGGGTTTTAAGGTTTCGTGAGAACCAAGTCGTTATGTTGCATTGAATTAAGCAGTTCAATTTATGATATAAGGGGTACAATGTCCATGGGGGTAAGGTGTACAAATATGTGCTGCGCTAAGCAGATCGTCGCGAGTCGAGACAAGGACGTTGTAGGCCGCGCGCTAGCGCCTCGCGGAAGTGTAATCGAGATACGTCCGCGTATCAATTGCGGAATGCTGACGCGGAATTCTTTGCAGCAAGGGCGGCTAATGAGTTGCGATTCATACT